TACGTTACTTACTTTACGTTTACGTTTCGTTACGTACGTAGTACGTACTACGTACTTACTCGTACTACTACGTCGTACGTCGCTCCTACCTCTACTACTACTTACTACTCTCTCTCTCTCTCTCTCTCTCTCTCTCTCTCTCTCTCTCTCTCTGTGGCTTATTTCGACAAATTTTGGGTAATTAAAAAAGTGGATTTGAAATGAATCAGTATGCTTGGAAGAGATTGTTGGTTTATTGTAGTTTGCTGATTTGTTGTTGTTTGCATATTGGGTTGATTGCTATATTATTACGTGAATCTGGATTATTTGAAACATGTTGCTGGCATTAAAGTGTGCTTTTTGTTGGGATTCAGTTTATTGCTCCTCTCTCTCTAAAATTATTGATTTTTGAAGCGTAGGATTGGGACAGAACAGTGGATTCAAATCGAAGAGAGATAGAGGGGGTGAAGGGGGGCTTCACAAGGCAAAGCTAATAAGAGGGAAAGCTCACGGGATGCCCTTTCCTATTATCAGACAGTTGTGATATTTTGTAGAAGTAAAGGGCATTGTGCGTCATTATGAAGTAGAAAAAGGTCGGAAGGGGTTTCCTAGTCCAAGTTTTGCAAATTAGAGGGGGTCCATGGGATTTCTGTGGGCCCGAGGACCTAAATGGGGGTAAAACTGTGTGGAGGGGGTGCAGGTCTTTTTCCTTTTTTTTTATTATCAATAATCTCTCAAATTCGGTGTTTTTTTTTCTCGAATCTATTGTTTCTAACAGTTAGATCAAGCTAAACTCTATCCAAGCAATATTTTTGGCTCAAATGGGCAAACGTAAGGCTCTAAATTAAAGAAATTATGAAAAAAAATTCACCCCCCTCTTTGACTTGCCACCGAATAGTACTTGGTGAGTACTTAGCAACTCACCCCAGAAGTGCAGAAGTCAGGCTAGTCTGCCAGAGCTCCACAGTAGACGATACTCAGGCTAGTTTGCGCAATACCGTCCTAAGTAAAATACAGGTACCCCACCCCACAATTTTGTGCATTGATAATCACCCCAACAAGGTGCCGATGCCGAGTGACTCAATCGAGTCTGAGTCGACTTGACCGAATTTTCGATCACCAGATAAATCAATCAATCTTATCAATTATACCAATTTGCAACAAATATCTAAAACTTTGGAGGAGCTAGAACTAATCACTAGGTTTGACTCCTTTTTATCGCCACAAACCCATGCATAGGGTTAATCATTAAGCATCCCTTTTATCTTGCTTTAACTCTATGCAGCCAGAAAGCTACCTGAAGTACCCTTGTTTCAAAGACAAAGTCGCATGTTACACAAGAAGCACTCTATGGGATGCTTGTCAACATATATCACCTTGCGGTGCCAAGAAGTGTATTACGGATGGCAAGTCCAATATTTATTAGATAACCAACAGGTGACAGTTCAAGAAGGGACAAATATTGGCCTAGAAATGTGAACAACTGCCAAATTAGTGTTGGAAGGCAATGTTAGAAGAGCCCAAGGCAATGGCAAGCATGACACTAAGGTGCTCTGTTTTAGATGTATTCCGGGCTCCAACATGAAGGGTGAAGAGAAATAATGGAATTCAACTTAATTCAAAGGTCCTGAACTCTAGCATAGCTATAGAACAAATCCCATATGAGAATAAATTGGTCACCTTGAGAAGAGCAACAATAAATATATGCAAGTCCAAAAGAATAAAGAGTAAAATAACCAGCAGCATGCCAAAAAATAGTTTGATGATAATAAGTACAACAGTACAAAAGAGAGGACTGAACAGTAAAATCTAGGTGTGTATGCCGTAAATTCTATAATAATCAACAATACAAAGATAATGGCAGGGCAAGTGAGAAAACAAATCAGTCCAATGCACAGAATGAAGCAATATGAGAGTCAAGCTAAATCTTACTAATCATTCAAAATGGAAGGTCAAATTTATGTTTCCCTGTACACTTCATTCATGCAAAAAATACAAACAACTTGTTGGATACTACTGCATTAAACAAAGAATCAAAGAAATGCAAGCAGAATATGGTCAAGCTCTTCATTCCACATCAGCAAATTGATCATAATTATCATAATATAGAATCAACTTATGCAATAAGCTTCCTAACAAATATCACATAGAGAACAAGAGCACAAGCATATTAAGAATTCAATACTTGATGGAAACAGAAACAACAGTAAAAAGTTATGTCACATCATACAGTAGCTAGTCCAGACTTAATAAGATGGTTCCTACCTCATCCCTGTCAAAATTTTCACCGCTGTGAGGGTCAAAGAGAACATCTCCAGTAGCCAGCTCGAAACAGATGCAAGCAAACGACCATAGGTCAGCCGAAGTAGAATACTTAGAACCAAGAAGAACCTCAGGGCACCTGTATTGCCTGGTCTGGATATCAGTTGTGAATTGCTTATAAGTCCAACAAGCATTTCCAAAATCAACCAATTTGCATTTGAGGTCAACTGACTTCAATAGCTTTTGTCGGGTAGATCGGCTTCCCCTTCGATGACTCTGACCATCACGAGCACCATCCTTTTTCTCATCAGGATTCGATCCACCAATTTTGACTTCAGAGTCATCTTCTCGCTCTTCATGGGCCTTGGCATCCCCACTAACCTCATTTGAATCTGAGGTAGGGAAGTTAACTTTGGAAGCTAGAGTTATTTCTTGAGTCCCTGCATTCCCCACACAATCCTGAGCTGCTCTTTTAGCTTTGCGTTTGATCTTCTTCTTCTGGTTCTTTGTCAGGTCCCCATTTGAACTCTTTGTATCTTTCAGGGTTCCAGAGTTTAGGGCAAAGCCTGATTTATCCTTGTTACTAGGAAGAATGGGAGGAGTGCCAAACCTTCTTGGATCCTTGGAGGGATCTATTGAGGACACAAGCAATATGTTCTCAGGCTTTAGATCAGTGTGAATGATCGAGAGCTGCCTGTGTAAATAATCCAATCCCACTAGAACATGAAAACATATTTCCTTGACCATGGAAAGAGGAATCCCTCTGTAATCAGTATATTTGATAAGTGTCAATAAATTATCTCCTAGGAACTCGAATATCATACAAACATGCTGCCCATTTGGCCCTGAATGCTTGAAATGATCCAAGAGCTTAACCACACACATCTTATCTTCTGGGTCCCCTGTTGCTATTTGTTTGAGGATTGTAATCTCATCCATAGCTGCCTCTGTGTAATGCTGTGCACTCTTTTGGACTTTCAGGGCAACATATCTCTGCCACAAAAATGTTTGGGTTTGAAGGAAAAAGGTAAGAGGATTTGCTTTTGGCAGAAAGCTCAGAAAATGTCATATTGCGGCCAGAATTTTCATGTTCGTGATTTTATTTTATTTTGAGAAAAATTCACTTTAATTGCATTACTAAGTAGTAGAAGATTACAAGAAAATCAAGATGTATAGTGACCCACAAGGGTCACTCGATAAAAACCCAAACGGGTCCAAAAAATGTACAAAATGGTTAGACAAATGTACATTTTCTTGATTAAAGATACAAGAAAGGTGACTATCAAAAGATAAATGTTATTAAACAAGGAAAAACATTAAAAGGAATCAAGGGAAGAAAATAAAAATTTCACAGAATGTTTTTCTAAGACTTCGTTAAAAATGAGTAAGAAGATGATCCAAGATATCCAATCCAACAAGCTAATTATTCGCAGATATTAAGTTTTTTATCAGCTCCTCAAAAAATTTATGCAAGGGGGTCGTCAGGGATTTGAAGTTAAAAGCATATTATTTGATAGATCTGGTATAAATGCCATAATACCTCAAGGGAAACAAAAGCATATCTCTGAGCCTAACAAGAATCAATGCAATCGCCCAAATGTTAAAACCTACATCCCGGCTAAAATCAATGCAAACCTACAAATGTTAGAATGTTTGCTTCGAGTTGTCCAATCAAATCTCTCAAAACTCCCAGCTTAGACAAAAGCAAATGCATTCCAAGATGAAGTAAAAACTAAGCTCAACCAAAACTGAGGCAAGCAACAAAATCAACACCCAGTGCACCCTAATCCAGCAAAAAGAAAGATGACCCGAGAGAAACCCAATATCAAACTCGATGCATAAATATCAAAATAAAATCCATAATCATGCAAAAATAGAATGATCAAAATGAGAAGGTGAACGATTTAGGGTTTATAGAGGCGATTACATTGTGCTGAGTGTCCCAGGCCAACCAGACAGTGGAGAAATGGCCCCATCCAAGCTTGCTCTGAACAACGTAGCATCCATTCTTGAAGGTGTCCCCTATTCTTACAGCGTGGTAACCCCCTCTCCTGTATTCATCTGTACCTTCGTCCTCTGATGTGTAATCACTGCTCTCGCTCCTCTCATCCTCTTCCCTGCTCCCCGCCATTCTCTCTCTGATCACGACACCCCACTCTCTCTATGTCTTATCGCTGCACCTTCCAACCCTCTCTCTCTCTAGGAGGCCAGGAGGCGTACGCAACCAGAGGGTTATTTGGGTAAAATAAACCACCACCGCTTTATCTGCCCACCATCAAAGCGGTCGGATGAGCTCCAGAGCCACCAGTAAGAGAGTTGCAGAAGCAGAAGAGCGAGAAACCTGTTTTCTCTCTCTACTTTTTAGGGTGCTTGTCGATCTTCTTGAAAAATGGAAGAACTGGTGGACTTGTGACTGGTTCGATTGGCGAGGGCAAGGAAATGAGCTCCCCCGACATTTTCGTTGCAACAAAGGTCTAATCCGGTAGCTGCCGCCTAAATTTACAAAATGACTCAGGAGACCCTCGTTTTATTGTATGACGAAATTACCCTTGATTTTTCTTTGCCAGCCGTGTTTAAAAAAAATTATAAAATACACTCTAAAATGAACTATCTATCCAACTTATCCTCGTACCAAAAAAATTTTACATTTTTTTTCCTAAAAACAACCTTTATAAAAAAAAAAAAACCTCAAGGTAAAAAGTTTTTAATTTTGAAATGGAAATGCCCTTCCCATACAAACCAAATCAATTCGCGATCCCAAATAGAGTAGTATCGAAGCGCAATATACTACTGTCGGAGTGGAATGTCAAGAAGCACTGCCGAAGCGAACTATCAAAGTATGTATTTTCAGTACCGGAGCGCATTCTCATATTGCCAGAGCGGACTGCCGAAGCATGTAGTATCACTGTCGGAGCGTAGTTCTCAGTATGCCGGAGCGATGTGGGTTAGACAAAACACTGTCGGAGCGCACATTGTGACTGCTGGCGCGCAGTCCTCCATTGTTGGAGCCGAAGGCTATGTGAAAAGAAACAGGAGAGAGAAGGCTGTGTGAAAAGAAACGAAGGTATTTAATTCTATTTTACGTTACTTTTGGGTTGGGGGGTTTTTGTGAGGAAAGATTTTTTGGGGAAAAATGTGTGAAAAAAAATTAAGGTGGGGGTAAATTGCGTAGATAGTCCATTTTAGATTGTATTTTGTAATTTTTCCTAACTTTTCAAACACATATTGGTTTACGGATTTTTACCCACAAATTAGTGCCATATTTCTAGATTGGCGATCCATATGAGATTTAAATCTGTTTGATGTAAAGAATATTTTTAAAATAAATAAAATAAAATAAAATTTAAAATAAGAGTTTATGGATTGGAAATTTAAAAACATCTAAAAAAAATATTAAATAATTTTTAAAATAATATATATATATATATATATATTAAAGAGCTTTAAGGGAAATTGGGCTAGTATCCATATCGTCTAAGAAGTTTAGACTGGTTTCCATATGGATTGATTATGCAAATCGGAAAAGACTATTTACAAGAAAACGACATCTGGACTCAAGGCTGAAGTAAACTTTTCAATCAAAATTGTGGGCTCATTCAGGTTTGAAAAGAGTGGGGTTTATATAAGGCCTCAATCTAAAATAATCAAAGTTACATGCATATTGTAATGTTGATAGCTATAAAATCTATTTTTATTTGTAATTAGAAAATTTAAAGCTTTAAAATAGTATGGATCAAGCAAATTTATAAGTGATTGAAACTTTTGAAAATTGACAGTCCAAATAATGTTTACAAGATGCATTTGTTTTTTTAACTTAAAGTACATTCCAAGCTCCAAATAATCAATTGGAGGATTTTTCAATGTATATAAACTTTTTTGCATAAGTTTGGCAGTGTATATAAATTTTTTCCTAGTGGGTGAAAATATGGGGTTAGGCCACTCCATCATAGAACATTTTTTACTCTTTAACATTCTTTTTAAAGCTCATCAAGCCACGCTAGAGCTAGTTGATATGGCATTGGAAAAGCATCAAATTGATCATCTCAGCCTCATAGATGTGAAATAAAATAGATTTGAGCCCTAAAAATTGTGTATTTTATAATTATAAGGACTATCTCCTTTTTTTAAGTATTTAGGTATCTACTATATTTTTCACTATTTTTAGAACTTCAAATTTCATAATTACTACTAGAAATAAATCTTTAAGCCACTATAGGGATTTTCAATGCCAAAATAATATTTTTCGGCATAAGTGTAAATTGCATCTTTACTTTAAGGAGATATATACAATGAGACCATTTACTTTTGATACAATGAGATCAGAATCAGCGTTGACCGTTAAATTTAAATCGGGTGGTTTATGATGTGTTGTTGTTTAGGCACGTTCAAACAAAATTTCTCAAATGTTACGATACACTTCCATCTATTAGATTTCATATCCAATGATTAAAAATAATTATGACCTCATTATACAAAAAATAAATAGTCACATAATATACAATACTTTAATTATAAACCTCGGCCTTACACTAATCTTACCCGATGTCTAAAATGTGGAATTTTCGGGGGTCAATTGTACGTAGATGAGCCCACCCACCAAATAGTCTTAGTGCAAGACTATTATTTAAACTTGGGAATATCAATACCTCGAGATGAACACTTAATCACCCTCAAAAGAAATGGATCAGCGCACGGCAATCAATTATTGTGGCCCCAAATTGAATTAGAGAAAAAAACAAGAAGTGAATATTTTTTATGCTATGAATAAAGGCTTTGTTATCATGCCTATCTCGGAGCACTTTCAGAATAGGGATTATTTATCTTTGGGTGCGGTTTGTACATAGCCCATACTCTAAACAATCAAATTGGAGCCTACCTTATAGAAATGTGGTTTGGAAATATTTGTCATAACTTTAAAATATATTTTTATTTTTAAAATATATATTTTATAAAATATATATTCTCATCTTTGTCATAGCTTTAAAATATATTTATAAAGTTTAAAGCTTAAAAAATAGTGTAGATCTACAAATCTATGAAAACTTGAAAATCTTGAAAATTGATGGTCCAAAACTTTAAATCTATTTTTTTTCTCATGTCCATGCTTCTTGATGTTGAGATGATCAATTTGAGGATATTTGGGCATCTGTGAAATTTTTTAGGTAGGCTCTAGTTTGATTGTTTAGAGCATCGGCTCTATATAAATTTTCCCTTTATGTTTTGTCACAATCATTATCGTATAATAAATTTTAAAATTAGTAGTAGTCAGAGTGTCATTGAATAAACACAAAGTTCAAAAAAAAAAAATCTCCGACTTCATGATTCACTCTAAAATATCCAATTTAACATCTAATAAGTGCGAATGATTGTGACCTCTATTCATCAAACGCAATTGGTTTTGTGCAATTCCAATGCCATTTTGTCTTCTTCAAGCAAATTACCAGGATTTGAAGTTAATTTTTAATCACTTTTCTTATCTTTGGAATGAAATAATGAGTGATATAAAATATCTATTTTCTGATTGTCCACTCGGACTTGGGAGTTATGTGTACAACTTGGGGTACACAAAAAATTTAAAAAT